CCTTTATACTGTCCAGCGCAATGTTCCCAATAAGACGCTATAAACCATGCCCAATTTTTATTGGAGACGAACAAAAAGGTCGATAGGGGTAAAACAGAAAATATTTAAAGGATATATTAAGAGTATGGGAATAATGTGTAAGGTAAATGTTGGAGGTATGGCATCAAAAATTTAAATCCTCTTAGATTAATCGTGTTAAGCATACTCGCACCTAAAGTTCACTTTAAAGAACTAGGATAAAATGACTGTTCGGCGGAGCAGGTGGACCCAAACACCAATCTGCATACTGACTCAGTTGTCGGAAACGTTAGAAAAACACACTATTAATTTTGCAAATATCAACTTGCCAGTGCATTTGTTAACACTTAATTTGGTGCATCAGTAAATTAAATTAATCAGGAGTAGACAATAACTGAATAAAAATAATAAGTAGTACTACCCACATAGGGAAGATTACTTTACATACCATGTTAGTGCAATAAGGGTTTGTGGCAATGGAGATTCTGTCTTAAATTATTTTTTTCCAATGCAGCGTGGAAACTTATAGTCCATCGGAGAAGTAATAGTAGACAAAAATTGTCCTTAAACCTTAAATGCAATTTATACACATTGTTTTGATAGTTCCAAACTAAAGCAAACAAATTTCTTCGCCATAAGCTGATTCACCTGTTGCGGCATAACACTTCGAAACCCGACTCTTAGGTACTTCTACAGAACTGAGATATTTCACAAAATCTAAGCCAAAAATGTATTCATACATCCGAATATGACTGTTTGGATGCATAACTATAATCCTTAGTCTAAAATTTTAATGTCGCTGGCGAACTGTAGGCAGCTGTTGGAAGTTATGCATGGTAAGTACTAAACGTAACTTTAAACGTTCGACAGTTCTACTACACCCAGGTGAAACACAATTGAGCACTGGCACCTTAGATAAAGTAGTTTATTAAACACCTACGCGCAAGGTCCGTTGATCTAGAATACGTTTAATTCGGATGATTGGGTTTCAAAGAAGCTTTAGAAAGACTGTTCAATTTTTTTATTCCGCTATTTGCTATATTTAACAATGGATAGTAAAAGGAAAAAGTGTCTTAGAAGGGCATCATGAGCGGTGGACACCACTGTACTTCTTTGATGAATTAATACTCGGTTGGAATCAGTCATTACTTTATATTTGAGTGTAATAGCCAAAGAATGCAAAGCAAACATATGCAGAAAAATTATAAGGCACAGATGAATAGCCGATCGCGCTGATAACTTCAGTCCAGTAAGCCCTTTGGGAGAACGATTTCAAGAGTGATATGTGTAATGAAGAATGTTAAGTGGATCTCACTTGAAACTCAAGTGAACATTAACCCGCTGAAAATTTTCACCAAACCCGCAGACGTTCAATAAAAGAACTCAATCGCTTAAGTCTCTGTTCTCTGGTAGGTGGTTTAATCTAGATCTTTGGTTGTAAACCCGGATCCTAACGCTCAATCCTGACATGAACCACGGTGGAATGAGACTGATGGAAAAATTGACTCAAGGCTAGGGAATGAATTTCTTCTCGAAGGAACTCCACACCGCGCTTATAAGCATCTGTTGAAAATATGAGATTCCAACCCTAATGACAAGCTATATAGCTGCTATATCCGCGAATGTCGACATGGCGACATACTGTT